CCCTCCGCCGTTACTAGTTGTGCCGCTGCAGCGTCGACAGCAAGGCCTACTCGCTGAGCGACGCTCTGGTTCCACAGGCTTGCAGTCAAGGGGATGTGCACTCGTGTTTCTGGCACCGTGGTCTGGTCCCAAAGGATTGGACCGAGACGCCACCCCCACAATACACGGATGATTGGCACTGTGACGGTCTGAATGGGGGCGTTACGCGACGTTGCCTACCTCAAGGCTGTTGCGATCATCCTACACTGGTTTTTTGCGACGCCACCGGGGGTCCTGATACCATGGACCCCCGCCTGCGCCAAGTGGCTCTCCGCATCGCGATCACCAGCCACTTCAATTCCATGATTGCTCAAACTCAGGAAGTCTGGCAGGAGCCAGGCAACTGGTCGCCCGCGGCGAGATCAAAGCGCTGTGGCTTTGCTTGATGTGCCCACGGATATACGCATTACGCGACGTAGTGTGAGAACGTGTATCTGGGTGGGCTCAACCAACTTTATCGTCAACCGACAGGCACTGATGCGTATAGATGCATATATATATATATATATATATATATATATATATCGATATGCATAATAATCACATTTCCTCTCCAGTCACATCAGGAGCCCGAAGCGATGATCGGTGACCCCTCAAAGGCCCGGGTGATTGTTGGCAACGCAGCGGTTGACGAATTGGTCGGACTCGCAACTCTTCAAGTACGGCTACCAGAGCATGTGAGATTTCGTATACTCCAGCTGGAACGGGACACTTTCCTGGTTCGACATCGGCTTCCACGAGCAGTTTTGGACATCATCCGCGCGAGTGCGGGCACGACGGGTGAGTTGAAAGGGGAGCGTTCCTCTCGCACCCCTGTTCCCCGTCCCGCCCCTTCCAGCGTCCTGACTTTTTCGACCTCCCACGCTTTGGAGGAGTGCGGTCGTCGTTGTTCCACGTGCTTCGGAAACGCCTCGCTGGCCGCTGCTAGCCTCTGGAAGGCCAATCCGCGTTTCATCCTTGTGAATTTTAAGCGGTTCGTGTCATATCCTCGGGTCTAACGACAATATCCACATAAGGGGAGGCATGGTCCATAATAGCCATAATCTGACTTTATGTGAAACTGGGCCTGTGGTTTTGCTAGATTTGCGGCATTTATGCCAGCAGGAGACATTGTAACCTGCACAAGTGAAAGCCGCACCGACGGGAGCTGAATATTTAAAACGTATCCACTGGAGACTCCAACCGAAATCTTTGAGCAATGCCGAGATAGCAGCCCGCCAGAAGCCAGCTCAGGAGTCCCCGTCCCAAGTGTCAGGCTCATTTTCCCCATTTCACTTAGTGACCGACCTTGCTCTTGCCCTTGCTCCTCCTCCTCTTCCTCCTCCTCCTCCTCGTCCTTTTCCTCCTTATCCTCCTTCTGTGCCTTCTCGTCATACTCGTTGCATTTCTCATATTTTTCCTCTTCCGCCTCCTCCTCCGCCTCCTCCACTTCCCCCCTCTCCTCCTCATGTTGTTCCTCCTCCTCGGCCTTCGCCTTGCCCTCCTCCGCCTCCTCCTTCTCCCCCTCCTCCTCTTCCTTCTCCTCCTTATCCTTCTCCTGTTCCTTTTCGCCCTACTCGTTGCGTTTCTCATCCCCTTCCTCTTCCGCCTTCTCCTCCTCTGCCTCCTCCACTTCCCCCCTCTCCTCCATGTTGTTCCTCCTCCTCGGCCTTCGCATTGGCCTCCCCCACCTCCTCCTCTTTCTCCCCCTCCTCATCGCCGCCCCGCTCGTTCTCCTCCTGCACCTCTCCTTCCTTCTGGCAGAGGCGCGCGCGCAGATTTTCCTCGGCGCCCTCGCCGCCGCGCCTGGCAGGGGCGCGTTCTCCGACGGCAAAATCCTGCGCCCGTCGGGGGCAGCCCCGCGGGCCAGGCCGTCGGGGCAACCCCGCGAGCCGCCGGCGCGCGGGACCAAGCCGTTGGGGCGACCCCGCGGGCTCCGAGCGGGGCGCCGCCGCGCTCAGGCCGGGGGCAGCGCTGAGCCCAGCCCTGCCGCGAGCTGCTCCGCCTCTGCCCTGGCGCTGTCCGCTCTGACGTCGAACTCCAGGATCGCCTCCCGCAAGGGTGCCGGCGGCCCTCGCTCCAGGAACTCCCGCGGCGGCGGCCGTGGGATCAGCGCGCGCCGCCCGCGCGTGGCACGGGGCAATATGGCGCAGAAGTGCAGCCGCCCCTGCTCGTCCGACATGCCCGCGCGACCAGCGCCCTCGCCTCTCGCGCAGTCGACGGCGACGCCCTCGCGCGGCGTCTGGCCCCGCGACAGCGCGGAGGCGAGGCGCGACGCGCGCGTCGCGGTGCACCCCGAGCGGCGCGCGGCGCGCGGCTCCGAGCTCTGCCGCGCGAGCTCCTGCTCGCGGGGCCCGAACGCGAGCCAGCTCCTCGCCCGCGCCTCGGCCTCGCCGTCGTCGTCGGCGCCCCGCAGCAGCACCTCGACGACCTCCTGGTAGATCGGAGACTCCTTGAAGCCATGCGCCTGCTGCCAGATTCCCTGCGGTGGACGGCGGATGAAGATAAGCTGGCCCGGCGAGCGCCCCTCGCGCCGCTGCTCGTCCTCGGGGCGAAACGCCAAGGGTGCGATGCGACGGTGGCCCGTCGCTCCTGCGCAAGCCCCAACTTCTGCTTCGACTCTTCCTGCGCTGCCGTGAATCGCACCCCCGTGCCGACGTGGGCCGGTCAGACGTCGTGGATGTCCCCCGTCTCGTGCATGTTCGGGGTGTTCAGGAGGCGCCGGCCCGCGTCGGGATCGCCCTGAACCGTTTTGCGTTCGCCCCCGGCTTGCAAGAAAACGAAGGGCACGCCCGGGCGCCGCGCGCCGCGACGAGCGCGCGTGTTGATCCACCTCGCCAGCGTCTCCCAGTGGATGCCCGTGCCGTAGCCGAGCCGAAAGTTCTCGCGCTGGTGCCGAAGGTCCAAGACGCCGCGGTTGTCCGAGGCCAACGTCGTTTCCCAGGCGTGCCGGATCTCTGGCGGGAAGGGCTTGCCCTCGCGCGTGCAGCCCATGAGCGTGATCAGAGGGTCCCCGGGCTTAAGCGCTTCGTGCATTTCAGCTCAAAGACGCAGGGGATCTGAGAGAAGACATCGATGGCGTGCTGAATATCCACCGTCGGCGGCTCCTCGTACTTGTAGGACCCGTCGTCCACGAGCTCGCTCACGCCCGTCAAGAGGCCGATGCTGCCCGTGGGCTGCAGCTGCAGGGAATTCGCCGAAGTGCAACACGATGGGGACGCGCCCGAAGTGGTGGTGCGGCCGCTTGTACGTGTACTCCTGAACGTCGTGCCTGTCATTGCGTCCGTGGCACGCGCGAAGGTCCAGCGCGGCCGCCACCCGCCTGATACTTCCTCCATATCCAAGCCTCAGGGGCCCAAAAGTGACGACAGTTACAAGATCCCGATGGCCCGCTCAGACTAAAAAGCGTGGGCGGCGGGCCCCATAGGGAGAGCTCCCGCCTGAGACTTCCTCGCAAGTCACTCACAGACGAGGTTCCCGCCTGATACTTCCTCCATATATGGCCTCACGGGCCCAAGAGTGACGACGGTTACAAGGTTCGGATGACCCGCTCGGACCAAAAAACATAGGCGGCGGGCCCCATATGGAGGGGGCTCCCGCCTGAGACTTCCTCGCAATTCACCCTCAGACGAGGCTCCCCGCTGATACTTCCTCCATATCCAAGCCTCAGGGGCCCAAACATGAGAACAATTACAATGTGCCAATGACTCGCGCGGATTAAAAACATGAGCGGCGGGTCCCACAGGGAGAAGGTTCCCGCCTGAGACTTCCTCGCACTTCACTCACAGACGAAGCTCCCGCCTGATATTTCCTCTATATTCAGGCCTCACGGGCCCAACAGAAACGACAGTTACAGGGTTCCGATGATCCGTTCGGATTAAAAACATAAGCGGCGTGCCCCATATGGAGGGGGGCCCCTGAGGGGGGCTCCCGACTGAGACTTCCTCGCAATTCACCCTCAGACGAGGCTCTGCCGACGATGGTGTTGTGATATTGATGATGATGATGATGATGATGATGATGATGATGATGCTGATGCTGATGCTGATGATGATTTAGTGGTGATGATGATGGTGATGATGATGGGTGACGAGTAGTAGTTGCGAATGAGTGAGTGAATTAAAGAATAAGGGTGTGTGCGAGTGTGTATGTGATGTAAATGCGGTGATGGTGATGATGATGATGCTGATGATGATGATGATGATGATGATGCTGACGATGACGATGACGATGATGATGATGATGATGATGATGATGATGATGATGAAAATGATGCTAATGATGATGATGATGATGATAATTATGATGATGCTGACGATGACGATGACGATGACGATGATGATGATGATGATGACGATGATGATGATAACGATAACGATAACGATAACGATAACGATAACGATGATGATGATGATGATGATGATGATGATGATGATGATGATGATGATGATGATGATGATGATGATGATGATGATGATGATGATGATGATGATGATGTGAGTGTGTGAGTGTGTGAGTGAGAAGGAAGGGGGTGCTCCTGTTCCTGCGCGGGGTGTCGAGAGAAAGCAAGAACCCTACTTTGGACGTGGGGAATCAAGAAGGTACACGAGGGCCCCATGACTTGCGACCGAGGGATGGGGCGTCTGCAATCAGGGAGGCGCGCACGAAGGAGCCGGAGGCAGTGAGCTGGGCGGCGGTCCAGCCGCCCGTGCCGCTGGCGCCGGGCTGCAGAGCCGAGCAGGCCTCGCTCTTGTCCGAGACCGCCCAATTGGCGTCGGAGATGTCAGCGACGATCAGAAACGGGTCTTATAGGAAGGCACCAACTATACACCAACACCGATCCTGGCCAGGATCATCCTGGGCCCAGGATCGGTGTATACGCCCTCCTGCCTTGGGCAAGAAGGCATATACACCGATCATGGGCCCAGGGTGATCCTGGGCCAGGATCGGTGTTGGTGTATAGTTGGTGCCCTCCGATCTTACGCGAGATGGCAAAGCGGCCTTACGTGGCGGCTTACGCGGGCCGCCGGTGCGGCACGCCACGTCGGAGACGATGGCGCTCACGCGCGGCCTCACGCGAGCAGCTTGCGCGCCAATGTCGGCGCAGACGACCCCGTTTTCCTGCGTCGCCCATGTGGTGCGTCTCCATGAAATCCAGCCACCGCTGTGTCTCGATGAGGTCCAAGGCTCCATCGCCAGAAGCCTCGCAGGTCCCCCATTCCGTCACGAAGAGAGCGGCGCCTTTAGCAAGGGCGCTTGTCGCCTTGTCTCGAAGGCTCTGCCGGTGTGTTGATGCATAAAAGTGGAGGGTGTAGGCCAGGTTACTGCCAGCGACAGGATCATTTGCAGCTTCGTCGACGTCTTGTGACCAAGTCCGCGTCCCAAGGATTATCAAGTTGTCTGAGCGCTGGCGGATCACCGAGACGATTTCCTCGTGGTAGGGCTTGATCTCATGCGCCCAGCTTGAGTGAATGGGTTCGTTATAGACCTCGAAGATAACATTCGGTTCGCTGCCGTACTTCTGGGCCATCTCGCTAAAGAACGTACTCGCCTGAGTAAGGTGCTGATGTGCGTGGTGGTCGTGCCAATCAATGATGACGTAGATCCCAGCGGCAATTGCAGCGTCCACGACCGTCTCTACGCGTGCCTTCTCTCGAGCAGGGTTGCTCAAATAACAATCGTTCTCTACTGCCATCGCAGCTCGAATCAGCGTTATCTTCCAATCATCCGTGAGCCATTGCGTCGCGCCTCCATTCCAATACTGTGGCATCCACTGGGACCAGAAGAGCGACATACCCCGCAAACGCACGGGCTGCCCGGAACTGCTCACAACATGATTTCCGCTCACCTGGAGCCTCCCGTAACTATCCACTATGGAACCTGCTGGGGGGGGCGTGGACTGCACGCCAAATTCAGCGGCCAACACAATGGCAGCCAGAAAGAAGGGAGACAGGGTCATGAACTTCAGATCGAGGATTGTGAAGGCAAGCGATCAGGCAGCTAAGAGCAAGTGCCTGCAATCAGTGATCATGCCCGTGGCCAACGTGCGGACTAGGCTTGAACAAAAATTGCTACAGACTCATCTTGGGCCCTCTTGCCCGTCTTCAACCTCTCCAGGGAACCTACTGGGGCATCCCAAAGCCCTCTTGGGGCGATATCGGGTGCCTCTCAGGCCGTCTCGAGCGTCTGAGTAACTTTCTACAGAACATCCATCTGTTTCACCTCCTGTGTGCCTCTTCGGGGTACTCTTGGTCCATCTTGGGCACGCCTGGGCGGTCTCCTGGAGCAAAGGGACGTCAAAATTGTCTTGGACGCCAAGCCGAAATGCCCCCCCGAAGGCCACCACATAGGTCCAGATCCCGAGAACGGAACGCTGTGGGGCCCTCCTCTCTCGGAAATACAGAGAATCCTACAACATGGTAATCATCTGGTGCTGCGAGCTGCGAGCGCTGTGTACTTTGATTGCCCCACTTTCGCAAATCATTACAAACGAGATCAACGTGGAATCCATGTATACATTGCTTTCGCGTCTGCGAGATTTGGAGGGACAGCGGCGTGGAGCCGCGAAGACATATCAGGAACACAGGAAAATCAAGAAAAACAAAAAAACACAGTTCACAGAGAAAAACAAAACCACAGTCTCAGGTGTTCTTAAGCTTCTTGTGCATTTTCATTTGAAGACGCATGTTTTAACTGTTTTTCATATTTGTTCCTGTTTTCCTGGTAAACACCCGCAGCCTCGCGGCGCCGTCACTACAACGCCGAAGAGCCAGAAAGGCTCAACAGGAAAGCAAGAAACATATGAGAAACGAGAAACAATGAAAACCTAAGGAAAACCTGTGTCCGGCAGCGCTTTCATTGTAAAACCGCAAAAAATGCGGCAGTCATAGGTGTTCCTGAGTTGTTCTTTTTTCCATGTGAAAAACGTAACTCTTTTTACGGATGGCCATGTATTTTCGTGGTTTCCTGATAAGATTCCGCGGCCCCGCGGCGCCGTCACTATAATGCATCACAATCAATATCACATTCAAGACTCCGCAAGCAAATTCAATGTTTAGCGAATTGCAGTGTAAGCCCACGACCAAGCTCAATGTATAAACCCTTACGAACGAAACAGCGACTCTTTTTCGTAAAGGCTGTTGCAACATGATTCGAATTGTGGAGGCCACTGCAGACCCCCCTCACTTGGAATCTTTGTGCACGGTCGCCACCAAAAGGAATATGTGTGTACAGGCTGCTGCAAAAAAGGCTTTTCATTGCGGAGCGTCTGCACCACAAAAGAGTACCGACAGTCACAAGTATTCCTGTCGCGTTCCTGGTTTTCCATGTGAAAACACATGTGGTTTCCTGTTGTCCAGCTTTTCCTGTTTTCCTATTCAGCCTTCCTGGGCTCCAGGTGCCGCAATTCCAGGCCCCCCCCGCAATCAAAACCTTTTTGTTTGTTGTCAGGCCGCCACAATAGGATTGCGTTTTGTAGAGGCTGTTACAAGAGGATTCTAAGGGTGGAGGCCACGGCTGACCCCCTCATTTGAAATCCTTGTGTAAGGCCGCCGCAAAAAGGAATCATCGTGTGAAGGCTGCTACAAAAAGTATTTAAATTGTGGAACGTCTGCACCGTAAATGTGCCGTACCGACAGGCACAGGTCTTCCAAGCTGCGTTCTCATTTCCTCATATGAAAAAGGTCAAGTGTTGTTCTTGTGTTTCATATTCATGGGCTCAAGGTGCCGCCATTGCAAATCCCCCCACAGTGAAAACCCTGGTGTGAGGCCGCAACAGAAAGAATCCCTATGTACAGGCTGCGATGAGAGGATTCTACTTGGGGGATCAGTAGTGGCCTCCACGGTGGAATACAATTGGAAACAAATGCGAATGCAATGAAAATACATACATTCGGGATTTCGCCATATCCCTCCTCCCCCTCCTGCAATAAGAATACGATCGACATGCCAATCGATGATGGAGACGCACAATCAGTCATAAGGAAATGCATCAACTGCCTTGTTGTAACCTTGCAAACAAAGGGTCGCACCCGTAGGACCCTTCGCTTGTGCGATTATAACCAGCGCTGAATTGTTCTACAAGCATGGAGTTTCCCTGATATGGTGATTCACCCTTGGATTCTTCACGAACTTCTTTATATCCTTCTCAACGTCCCCCCAGCTCTTTCGCATCCCTCTCATGGAAGCGCCCCACACTTAGAATCATGATGCAACAGCCTTTACAACAATAATCCGTGTGTGGCGGCTTTACGTAAGGGTTTTAATTGTGGGGGGATCTGGAGTGGCGGCACCTTGAGCCCAGGAAAGCGAGAGAGGACCACATGACATATCAAGATGTTTTTTTTGTTTTGCCTTGTATTCTGGGCTTTTCTGTAGCTTCGCCGCGTAGGCAGTCGTGCCCTTTTTAGGGTCGCCCATTTGAGCTGACTCGAGCCGAAACCTCGGCGCGGCGCGACGATGACTACGAATGCGAATGCGATAAGATAGGGATGGGGTAAATCAGATGAAAGTAGGTGGTAGGAGGGGGGTGCTGCCGAACACCGGTACGCGGATGATGCAGACGATGAAGATGATGATGATGATGATGATGATGATGATGATGATGATGATGCTGAGAATGCTGATTATGATGCAGACGGTGATGATGTTGATGATGATGATGATCAAGGTGATTATGATGCAGATGGTGACGATGATGCTCATAATGGTGAGGATGATGCTGACGATCATGACGATGTGAATAAGGATGCTGATGATGCCTATGATGATGATGATGATGATGATGATGCTGATGCTGATGCTGATGCTGATGCTGATGCTGATGATGATGATGATGATGATGATGATGATGATGATGATGATGATGATGATGATGGTGCGCAAACTGCGAGACAGGAGGGCCCCACAGCGTTCCCCTCTCCCAGGTCCCAGAGGTATTGGGGTGGGAGAATTTGGGAAAAGTGGGCCGCCTTCGGGGGTCCAGGACAAGATCGCCGAGTATATCATGCACATGTTTTTAAGAAGAACATAATGGCATAAACACAACTTTCGGAGATCCGCGCTGATTTCTTGGACCGGCGCTGGCCCCCCCTCCATGGAGCGCGGAGCGCCGCAAGGGGGCTCCTGCGTCGATCCGAAACATCCGCGCGGACCTCCAACAGTTTATGTTTATGTCATTGTGGATTCCCCGAGTATTGGGCTAACTTACGTCCTGAGGATCATCGATGCCATGGTGGCAAGTCTGTAGGGGGTCCGAGAAGATGGGGTCGAACGATTGTGCCGCATCGCCAATGCATCGCCGATACATGGGCGACGTCGGCGATGCATCGGCGCACTAAACGTGGAGTAAATTGGGTGGGCGCCACATCGAGCTGCATCGCCGATGCATCGGCGATACGCTGCGATCCTCCGACCCCAACTACCTGGCCCCATCGGAGAGGCCTGGAAGTTCCCCGCGTAAGATCAACCAATCCTCGTGCCTGACTCTTGGCAGCAGTGCCGCCCGGGCGCTGCCCTGAGGCGGCAACAATGATGGCCATCGGCGGAATGATGCCGATCGCGGACCCAAGAAAGTAATCCTTAAAGGAGACGCCAGACAGCGCCAACGCATAGTTCAGGAGCGGAGCCTGCCGGCGACCGCAGTTTGGGGGAGTCGGGTTCGCCTTCCAAGGAAAAACGCAGTCCTTCGGGAGCCGAAGTCGACTCCGCAGAAAAGGCAGTTCTCTCGCCCTCTCTCCCTCTCTATCCCTCTCTCCCCTCTTTCTCTTTGGGTGTTGCTGAAGGTGTCCCTGGCCCCTTTTCACTTCATTTTAAAACCCCTGGGGTCCTCTGGGCCTCGTGACGGGTGCTCTGGAGGTCGTGGGGGTCTTCCTGGAAATTCTGAAGACACCCAGGCCCAGGGACAGCTCTGGCAACACCCGATCTCTCCTCTCTCTCCCTCGTCACTACTACTGTCTCGAAGGAATGGGTGGAGAGAGCGGGTGAGCGGTTCGCGATCCGGCTCTGCTCGACATACCCGCGGGCACAACTGCCCCCTGTGTGATCCACGCCTGGGCCCCTCGCGACGACTGATCCGCGACAGAACATGATGTGTCCAGCGAAGAGCTGCGCAAACAGAAAAACTGGGAGGACCGCCCGGATGTCCTGGGCCTGAGCTGGATCCCCCTGCCTTCACGAGCGGCGAACGTATCCGCATCCGCGCCCTCGCGGTCTGGATTCCGGGGTTCGATCCCGCGGATACACCCTGCGAAATGTTTTAGAAATCATGGGTTAAGAAATTCATAGTCTCAGAATTTGAATAAAAACCCAGCGTGTCTATTCAAATTTTAGGATTTACATTGGATTATTAAGAATAATCGAGACTCTGGCCGAAAACTGGGGTTTTCTTAAGCATCGCCTCGAGTGTACGCAATCGCACGGATGCGTTCCGCGCGGGCATCCGCGAAAGAACGCCCCATATCCGCTGTGTCGCGGCCCAGGAGGCCGTGGATACGGATGTGTTTCTCGCCCATGCTTCCTGGCGAGCGGAGCGCACCAGAGGCGGCGCCGGAGGCGCCGTCAGGGAGGCCCGGAGCAGATGAACACAAATCCACAATGAGCTCTGGAAATTCCTGCGTCCAGCACGTCTGACACCTGGGCTTTCCAGGGGCGTAAGCAGGCCTTAGCTGGATCGGGCCGCGAGCGAATCGCCCTGAATCGGTTCGAAATTTGATCACTGCGCCTGGCTCCTGCTGGCCCTGGCCGATGCTGGTGAACCGAACCGACCCGAATCGAAGCGTTCTCACGGTCCCAGCGGGCGCATCGAACCTTACCGAATCGGATCGTAGGCGGTCTTGCGTAGATGCCCTGCCCAAACAGCAAGAAACACTATGCGCTGCTGCAGTGCTGTAGTTGACATGGGCGCGTTGCGATCAAAGAAGCCACGTGAATCAAGCCAGCACGACGCAAAATGACTGCTAAGCTGATGCACGACAGGAGCCGTGGTCCCATACCCAGAAACATACCCGACATAGAGACCCACCTAGTGGCTGGGTCCCCTCGTACTCAGCCCCACTCGTTCTCAGACGCACTCGCACTCAGACCCACTCACGCTCGATACACGGAGATCCAGCCACGCTCAGACCCACGTCACCCACAGTCATACTCAGAGCGAACTCAGACGCGCTCACCTGCAGCCTCTCGTACCAACGCTTCGATTCACTCATGCTCGGACACACTTGAAAGTCAGCTGCGCTCACACTCCTGCGTAACCGGATTCATGTATGCTCAAACTCGCTCGCACTCGGGCCCACACACTCACTCACTCATCGCACTGGGGCCTCTCAAGGGGACCAGAGGTGTTGGACGAGCCAGTTCTTGCCAAGATTTCCTGGACCCCTCGGGTAGGATGGCCGTGCTGAGTGGAGCAGACGTGCCTCCGTTCACCGCCCAGCGGCCCACAGCTAGCCCAAGCCGGCCCCGCAAGGCCCCAAGGCGACCGACAGGAGCCCGTGGGCCCACAAGATGGCCCAAAATTTGCTCAAAGATCCAGCCACGCAAAACAGGGCCAGGATCGGGATAAATCGCTCCAGAGCGTTCCGGAGCGCTCTCAGAGCGTTCCGGAACGCTCTGGAGCGGCCGCGGCGCCCAACACATCCTCCAAACCCGCCGATCCTCAGAGATTTCGAGTTATCCCGATCCGATTTTGTCCCGATCTTCGCGTCGTTTTACCACGGCTCCAGGACGGCCCCGCACGCCCCCACGACGACCTGGAGGAGGAGGCGGAGGAGGACGAGGGGGAGGAGGAGGCGGAGGAGGACGAGGCGGAGGAGGACGAGGAGGAGGAGGAGGAGGAGGAGGAGGAGGAGGAGGAGGAGGGGGAGGAGGAGGAGGAGGAGGAGGAGGAGGAGGGAGGAGGAGGAGGAGGAGGAGGAGGAGGAGGAGTGGGATGCCACTGGGCGCGCTCGAGGCGCTGCGCCCCGAGGGGGCGCCCCACAGGGCTCCGAAGTGGCAGCACGCTGCCGCGGAAGCCCTCCCGAGCGCTCGACAGCGCCCCGCGCACGGCCTCCGCGCAGCTCCGGCGAGATAGGAAGGCACCAACTACCCAGACCCCCTCGAGTCATGAAACAATCACGACGAAAGGTTTTTCTATATTTTCCACCTCTGGGGGCCCTTACCGGCCCTCGGGACCGTCAAAAAACAACTCAGGATGAAAAACCGGTCCCGGCGAATAGGTCTGGACCTCTGGGGGTCGCGTCATGAAAAATTCATGACGTCGGGGGTCTGGGTATACACCAACACCGATCCTGGCCCAGGATCGCCCTGGGCCCAGGATCGGTGTATACGCCCTCCTGCCTTGCGCAAGAAGGCATATACACCGATCCTGGGCCCAGGGCGATCCTGGGCCAGGATCGGTGTTGGTGTATAGTTGGTGCCCTCCGACGAGAGCGCGTCGCGTGACAGGAGGGGTCTGCCAGTGTCAGGGGCGTGCGAGCTCCGCTCGGTCGCAGTGGAAGGTGCAGGGCTTCATCCGAACAGGTGAGGGGCGCACACGAATTTCTGGGTAGTCGAAGCCAATCTGGCCCCAATCTGGTTCGCATGTTGGGCTTCGGGGCCCCATCGCAATCTGGCCCCCCTTCGCCAGGGTCCTGGCTGTACCCGATCCTGAGCCTTCTGAGAAGGCCCGCCCCCTCCTGGGTAGTCGAAGCCAATCTGGCGCCAATCTGGCAGGCCCAATCTGGCAAACGGGGGCAATCTGGCGAGGGAGCCAACGCGAATCCAGTCCGGCGAATAACCCAGATCATCCAGTTTGGCCAGGCCAGATTGGCCCGTGGGGCCCAATCCAATCTGACAGTCTGGCCTTCGACTACCCAGAATTTGGAACAAAACTGACGGAAGGCACTATACGCAACACGTGTGTATTCCGCCCAGCGCCCCTGGGGGCTCATCACCATTACCATCGTCATCATCACGGCAGCGACCGACCTCGAACATAATTGCCGCCGCCAACGTCGTGATTGTCCTCTTTCTGGTCGTCGCCACTATCATCATCGCTACCATTGCGTCAACATCGCGTCACCGCGCGCATCGAGAACGGTCGAGGGTACTGTCCAGCCCACGCCGTTGAGTCTAGCGAGGACAACGTGAGAGTATGAACAGGGCGATGGCAACAGGTTGATTGACGAAAGTCGCAGGTTAGACAGGCTACAAGATATAGAGGACCTCACTTGATTTTAAGGCGATATCATCGCCCAACACGGCTCACTCGCAAGCGGCCCTGCCTCTGTTTTGGTTCGCACGTGGTGCCGCGATCCGCTGTGGGTAATCAACGAAAGAGGTGACACATGCGCAAGGAATGGAGAGGCACGAGGGCGGCGCGAGAAATATGAATACTGGAAAGACTGACGATCGAGGGATGTTGAATCGATGGGGCACTGTGAGTGAACAAGGAATATCATCATTGGTTGGAAAGCGTGGAGCCGCGAACAGGACCATGCGCAACATCAACACGACAGTGAAAGGCCTCTCGCCAAGACTGCCAAATCACTCTCTGATAAAGAAGGACGGTAGAACAAGACTGGAACAGGTAGTGACATAGAGGATACTATCTCTCAACAACACCTCGCTTCCAGGCGCAATCAGAACGGTGGGCTACACATGCGGACAACCGCATCTACCGATATCTGGTGCGGGTACCGATCCAAGCGTTCAAGTGCGACCCTGCTCCCACGAACCAGACTGGGCCTTGTGCATGATGCGCGAGAGAACAATTCTGCTGTAGAAGCAGACTGGGTTTGTTACGTGCTCTGCGTCCAGAACAGGACCGGGAAAACGACACCATATTGAACGCTTCGCACATTCACGATATTCAGAGACCATCCCAAACACGTAATTCGTCTAGACACTTATCTTGCGCTTACAATCTGCAACACCAGAAACTGACACACGTGACCATTCAAGAAATTTGCACGAACACATTTTCGAAGATTATCATGCATGATCGCCTGCCTCGTGAAATCCAATTAACTCCAACGGACAACCTTGGTGGGCCCAGGAGCGTGCGAAGGTGACAATCAGGAGGAAAGAGGAAGGGCAGCGGCTTAATGAGCAGGACGGAGACTGATGGCGAACACGCGCAACACTGAGGATGATGAGAACCCCCGAGGCGTCCAGTCCAACAGCCGTTCACCAAATTGATCAATGCGCAGCGCTTTTTTTGTTGGCCTCCCGCGAAACAAGAACAACGACCAAATCTCTGGTCCTGGGATGCAAAGCACCTTCCCCCCCTGATCGCCCCTCACCCAGGCGCTCCCCCAAGCAGCAGCAGCGCAACTGGCATATCACGACGACACGCAAACATACACATACACACGCACACACATACACACACCCACCCACACACACACGCGCACACACATATGCGCACAAACGCACACACACATGGGTACCCCCGCGCGCACGCGTTTCGGTTCTGGTGCGGGCCGAGACACACAGAGGCACACAGAGACACACTAAGACAATCACACACACACGCCAAGCTGCGTGTGCTGTGATGTGCTGTGATGTGCTGGTATGTGATGTGATGTGCGGCGGCGTGCTGTGTCGTGTTGTGGTGTGTCGTGTTGTGCTGTTGTGCTGTGGTGTGCTGCCACGCACACACGCACACGCGCGGCCGTGCTGCGCTGCGCATGTGATGTGATGTGGGGCACACATGCACACGGACGGCCCCCCGTGCCGTGCTGAGCTGTGATGTGTCTGTGTATGCGTACTCGCGGCCGATTTTCTAGGCTTTTTTGAATTTGGCTATCCTCCTATGTTTCCTCCCCTCCCCTTGTCGTTCTCGGCATCGTTGTCGTCGTCGTCGTCGTCGTCGTCGTTGTCGGCGTCGCCGTCTGTGGTCGTGGCCGCTGTCGTCCCTTGTCCGTCGTCGTGTTTTTCGCCGCCGTCGCCGTCGTCGCCGTCGTTGTCGTCTTCGTCGTCGTCGCCATCGTCGCCGTCAATGTCGACGTTCGTCGTCGGCGTCGTTGTCGGTATCGCCTGGGTCGTCGTCTGGGTCGTCGTCGTCGTCGTGGGCGGTCGTCGCCCTCTCGGGTGCGCCGGCACGGCCGCGTCACGGCCATGGTCCGGAGCGACGGCAGTGCCGTGGCCCATGACCCGCGCCACACGAGCGTTCGCTGCTTCCGTGCTTTCGTCCAGCCTTTCTCTGTCCCCCCCCCTTCCCCCGCCTCCCCTCCTATCCGTCCTTTTCTGTCTTCCCTTCTTCTGGCATGTCCCCCTCTCCTGCCTCCCCCTTCCTCCCCTCCCTCCCCCTCTTCCTTTTCAGGTGTGATGGCATGGCCGTGGCTGGTGGGCTTCATCTCTTCGTGGCCCCTCCCCCTTCCTCCCCTTTCACGCATGCACGCACGTGTGGCTCAAACGCGCTCTCTCACCCACCCGCGTTCCCACAGGCTATTGAAGCCTTGTGCGGACTCGCGCGGTGCAGGTGCCGCCCCATCGCGCCACCCGGGACGGGCTGGTCCACCCACTAAAACCGACAGCGGCAACCACCGAGGTGGCGTGTGCTGCTCGCAAGTCGTGTGAGTGTCGGTGTGCCCAGTGCCGGGAAGGGGCTGGTCCAGGCGGATGGGTGCGACAAGAGCAGCGTGGACCGTGCACCACCCACGTGACTCCCCCTCAATCACTGCAGCCGGCGGCATTGCTTGCCGTGGCGTGCAGCCTGGTACGAGACGGTGCGAGGACACGGTGTCTCCGCTATGGGCGGGCAACGAACGAACGAACACACACACACACACACACACACACACACACACACACACACACGCACTCGCACACGCACACTCACAGACACACAACGACAACGACAACGACAACGTCAACGACAACGACAACGACAACGACAACAACAACATCACCAACAACACTAACAACACCAACAAGACCAACAACACCAACACCAACACCAACACCAACACCAACACCAACACCAACACCAACACCAACACCAACACCAACACCAACACCAACACCAACACCACCACCAACAACAACAACAACAACACCAACACCAACAATAACATCACCACCACCAACAACAACAGCAGCAACAACAACAATAACCGCACACACGCACAAACACACACGCGCACACGCGCACACACGCGCACACACACACACACACACGCGCGTACCCCCGCGCGCGCGTACGTTTCGGTTCTGGCGCATGCCGAGGCGCTGTCACGAGACAGTGGATGTGTGCGCCGCACGTTGGTTTTCCATGACTTCCAGGGCGATGTCTTTCGGCCCCCGCTGCAGTGTCCTCCGACTCGGCGGCGCGCCGAGGGGGGCAGGCAGAGGGTGTGGGCGTTCCCGGCAGGCAGCGGGGCTGCGGAGAAGGCTTAGACAGCCTCTGAGGAGGCCAGAAGCTTCCTGTCGGGCGTTCGCAAGAATGGGTTTATCGGGAGCGGCCAAGAGGGGGGTGTCTGTGAGGGGGGGGTGCAAATCATGATTGGCGGCACGTGCGCGGCCCAGCGGGGGGGGCATTTACGTAATGAAGTAAGAAGGGGCGCCATGGAATCTGGGGAAATATCATGGCCCCCGCCATGATATCCACCCCCCCCTAGTCATAACCCCCCTCCTTTCCGCCCCCGAGTTTAGTGGGACCTAGTTTGGTGATGTGTACCGGGGGACGCCCCCCCCCGCCCCGTTCCGCGAACCAGAACTGCCGTCACCGGGAAAGCGCCAGCTGCGGCAGACCAGGTTGAGTGATTCTGCTTCGCATGTTGGGCTTCGGGGCCCCATCGCAATCTGGCTCCCCTTCGCCAGGGTCCTGGCTGTACCCGATCCTGAGCCTTCTGAGAAGGCCCGCCCCCTCCTGGGTAGTCGAAGCCAATCTGGCAGGCCCAGTCTGGCAAACGGGGGCAATCTGGCGAGGGAGCCAACGCGAATCCAGTCTGGCGAATAACCCAAATCATCCAGTTTGGCCGGGCCAGACTGGCCCGCGGGGTCCAATCCAATCTGACAGTCTGGCCTTCGACTACCCAGCCAGCACCTGCGCCTCGCCGCCGAGGGGCCGCCGCCGCCGCCGGAGGAGGAGGAGGAGGAGGAGGAGGAGGAGGAGGAGGAGGAGGAGGAGGAGGAGGAGGGGGAGGGGGAGGAAGAGGAGGGAGGAGGAGGAGGAGGAGGGAGGGAGGAGGAGAGGAGGAGGAGGGGGAGGGGAGGGGGAGGAGGAGGAGCCCCCTCCTCGGCGCTCCGAGCGCGGCAGGAGCGGCGCCTCGGGGCGCCGCCCGACGGTCGGGCCCAGGCTGGGATGGCATCCTTCGGGGGCATGAGGCCCTCCGCTGGCCGCAGCACACTGAGCGTTCCAGGATATCTTAGGGGAAAACAAACCTACCTCGCTTTTGACCACCCTCGCTTCCAAGAGATACCAAACGATGCCAAATTGCAGCCTGTACTGGTCAGGCCGCTTGACGAGAGAGGCGCGTGGTATGACTTGGTCTGGCCTGGAAGCGAAAGCGGGGTAGGTAATTCACGCTCTGGATATCCTCCCCCAGGATACTTTTTTGATTTGCGGCCCGCAAGGAGAAGTCCAGAGGGCGGCGTGAACGAGGCTGGGGCACAGCGCAAGATAATTAGCGCGAGAACGCTCCCCCAGGATACGCAAAGACATCCAACAAGAAAGAAGAACGTCAGGGCACCCTCCCGGAACCGGCCGCGAATTTCTACCTCGGTCCGACCAAATCTCCACACCGAAACGAGAATCCCTTGGCGCTTCCTGACGTTCGACATGCCTTTCTCTCTGATCCGTTCCTGCTGCCCCTCCCACCTCTAATGAACCTACCATCCTTTTCCCTTGGTTTGTCACGCACCCCACCGTTTTCACATATTGTTTCGTCGCTTCACTGACTCAGCGCTGATCGTGAATCGCAGCGGCTGTCATGAATCCACCAACGCCACAACTTTCCGTCTAGCGCGAGACACGAGCAAAACGGATCGGCAACAAAGATCGCACGTACGTAACACGTTTCAGATGCTGGCGCCGACAGGTCGGTATAGTTCGAGCTTGCATGATTGTTGCAGGTTGGAGACTGGGCGGCCTCTTGTCCAGCTGGGCCAGGACAGCCCGAATCCTCTTGCTCTTGATCTGCGAGAAGCTCTTACCGCCAACCGCCCGAACCACGAAGAAGGAGAACGTGACGCTGGTGATCGCGGCAAACCTGTCCACGAACAAACGAGTAAATGACGCGGTCCAATGCAGGCAGAGATGAGTGTGATCGCTGCGATCAGAGAACAATGGGCACGCACACGACCGCACGAGCACAAGAGCTTGTGCCTGGCGGCTCGGAGGTTCCGGCCGGCCATCGAAAAGAACGATTTGCCAGACCTGTGCACAGCTCTTCTGCGCATGAGCGTCGAACTACCCAGCCTCATCTCCCCGATCGAACATTCGTGAAGACTTGCCGGGTCATTCGACACATGGCAATTCGTCCTCAGGGCAGCTGCTGACGGCAGACGACGACGCCTGGATGAGTGAAACTGGATAACATCATGGTGAGTGAAGCTAGATCGGGTTCCTGGGATCACCTGGTGCGCACGGCCCCTGCAGTGTGCAAAGGGATGTGCACGTTATCTCAACCGATTCGGCCAGACACGACGCTGACCAGATACAGGGCCGCGTGAAAATCTTGAAACCATGATGCACCAGAGAACCAATGTGGTGGATGTGTGCCCAATACCCCGACTTGCTAATCGATGGACCCCTGATGTTCAAAAAGCTTGAAGAACCCGCAACCTTGGGGGTCCAAGCCGCCCCCGTTGGATATCAGAAGCTTGGAGAACGTGGCAACCAACGAAGCATGGGAGGGTCAACGGTTGCGAGAATCCTGAGCTGCCGATGATCACGTCTGAGGCGCGGACCATCCCACCAAGAAGCCGACGGCCTTGCCATAAATCATGATGCAAGCGCCGTAGACGACCCAACCGTCCCCCCTCCCTGGGAGACCAGCGGCGGATGCAACCACGCTTGCTGCCACGTCCCTCCCCTCTCTGTCGGTCTCTCCTTTTCCAACTCATCGGTATGTTTATCATTGTCATTCCTCCTCGTCCTCCTCATCTACACCCTGCGAAATGCTTAAGAAATCATGGGTTAAGAAATTCATAGTCTCAGAACTTGAATAAAAACCCAACATGTCTACTAAAATCTTCAGATTTACATCGAAACGTTAAGAATAATCGAGACTCTGGCCGAAAACTTGGGTTTTCTTAAGCATCGCCTAAGGTGTACTCATCGTACGACTCATAGTCGCTCTACTTCGACTCCCTTCCTGTCAGAAGTGGTCGGGCCGCGACGTCTCATCGCATCTCGCTCTCTCCCCATGGACAAAGGGGGCGGCCGAGCACGGCGAAGCATCCGCAGGGACGCGAGGACAAAACAAACAGCAGACGATCAAAAGCGAAACCTGCGCGCCGTTCACACAATAAACGAATCACTCGTGACAGAGTTCCGCCACACGTGTCCGTAATTCTACGGGCAAGGGTCGGCGGCGAGCGAGGGGGGGAAGTGAGAAGGAGAAGGCCCTTTCAGAAGGCGGCGGGACTTCTCAGAAGGCCTGCGGCCTTCTGAGAGGTCTCCTGCGTCTTCGGGGAAGGCCAAGAGAACTTCTCAGGAGGCTGGGGGACTTCCGAAGCTTGTGAAAATGCCCGCCCCTTCTCACTCCCCCCCGGGCTCGCCGCCGAAAGGGGGGGCCAGGGCTGACGAATGGGGGCACAAGGAGGGAGGAGAGGAAGCAGGGGAGGGGACGTCCTGACCGGGACGGGAGGTGCAAGGCTGGGCAACGCCAAGGGGGGTCGCCACTACAGACATGTCTGTAGGGGGGTCTCCACTTCCGCAAGGAAGCACCGTCTCCTCGAGACAGTGGGCCCACAAGAATTCTCCAACGTCTTCAAAGCGGCCCAGTCGTGACCCCCCATGACACTACCCGACAGGGGTGTTGGCAGGGGGGAGGCGGAGATGGGGCTGACCGCTGACGAATGGGGGCGCAAAGGGGAAGCAGACAGGGGGCGAAGGGAGATCCTGGTGGCGGCGGGGGGCAGGGAGGTGGGAAGGGGGGATCCTTCAAGCTGGAACGATCGCTGCTTTCGAACGCGTTCCCCATGGTGGGGCTAGTGCCCTGGCCGGTCGGCGAGGAGGAGTAAGTAGCCCAGTGTAAACCCAAGAGTCATCAACGATGTTGGAATAAACCCTCCCTCCAAGCTCCCTCTTCATAGACCCCTAGATGGGCTTATTTCCATTGAAGGAACTGCCCCTTTGGAAGACAACTGTTCGAAGAACCTGAAGCATGCCAAAGCATTGTTCTCGGGATTGCAACGCCACGGATCCACCTGACTGTTGCGTCTTGACAATCCAGAATTGTGCCAGAACACCATTCCTGGGACTTCAACACAGCGAACCAAAATGACTGTTGCACCCGCATAATCCTGAATCCGTTCAGAAGCCCATTTCTGACGCGTTGATGATGGGAATCCGTGAAACTCTTGCAACTTCTTAAAACGAATGTGCGCCGCGCCAAAGCGAGAACAACATTTTGAAAAAGATTCGCCCTCAATCCGTAAAACTCTTGCACATTCTTAAAAAGAATGTGCGCCGCGCTAAGGCGAGAACCACATTTTGAAAACCACCCGCCCTCAATCCGAGAAGCTCTTGCAAATGTTTAAAACGAATGTGAGCCGCGCTAAAGCGAGAGCCACATTTTGAAAACGACCCGCCCACCATCTGTGAAGCTGTTGCCAATTCGAGCTTCAAAATCATAAACGGTGAGGAAGACTCAGGCGAAACAGGGAGAAGTTATTTATAAGGAAAAAGAATTGAAGGTCCTTCAATCAACGACCTCTCGGTTCCCGGTTCCCCGTTCCCAATTCCCGGCTCCAAATTCCCAGCGCGCTCCTGGTTCCTGGCTCCTGGTTGCCAACTCCTGGTTCCCGGTTCCTGCATCCTGCATGGTTCCCGGTTCTGGGTTCCCGGTTCTGGGGTTCCTGCGGTTAACCGGTTCCGACTTCTCGGTCCTGGTTTCTCACTCTCTCTCTCTCTCTCTTTCTCTCTTCTCTCTTTCTTCCTCTCTCTCTCTCTCCTCCTCTCAATACTATCGTTTTCTTTGGGTCTCTGACTTTTGTTCTCTCCCTCTCTATCACAATAAATATTTCTATATACGTTAATAGAACGGACATATCTCGTAGGCATGTGTACTTATGGGCCACGCTCTCTTACCCTCTCTCTCGCTGTGACTCCCTCCCCTCTCTCTCTCTGCGTTATGTCTCCCTCTCTCTACATCTCATTACATGCGTCTTTCGAACTATCCCTATGTGTACATTTCTTTGAGACGACGTACATGTACATAATCATAGCTATATGCATATACAGCTTCACATATGTTGACATATACATGCATGTGTATACATGTATCGATCTCTCTCGTTTCCGTGCATACACACATATTCCCCAACCAGAGTCTGCCTCTGTAGGGGTCCTAGCGGATTCATATGGTTAGGTGAGGTGGGTCGCCGATTTCGGTGGCCCGTCTGGGTGCCCGGGTGCCCTGGGGTGCCCGGGGTGCCCGGAAATACCAGGGGGTGCCCGGAGGGTGCCTGGGGGTGCCCAGGTGCCTAGGTGCCCGGGTGCTCTATCGCCCTATCGCCCTATTGCCCTATAGCCCTATAGCCCCAACGGCCCTACAGCCCTATAGCCCAATAGCCCTCTAGCCCTATAGCCATTTAGCCCTTTAGCCCTTTAGCACTATAGCCCTATAGCTCATAGGCCTATAGCCCTGTAGCCCTGTAGCCCTATAGCCCTATAGCCCGTATAGCCCTATAGCCCTATAGCCCGTACAGCCCTATAGCCCTACAGCCCTATAGCCCTGTAGCCTTATTGCCCAATAGCCCAATAACCCTGTAGCCCTATGGCCGTATAGCCCAATAGCCCTAAACCAATTATGATTGGGGCTGTTATCTGGTATCAACTATACACATTATATAGAAGCGCGTATGATTGGTGCCTCCATCTATCTCTTTTCGTTCTCTCTCTCTCTCTCTTTTCCTGTATCTAGCTATACGGCGTTATATAGATACATTACATTCGTTTTTTGTGATGTCTCTGTCTCTATATATGACTATCCTTCGTTCTCCCTCTCCCACTTTCAGGGAGACGTAAGACCTGGGTACAGGGGACTCGGAAATCCCCGACGAGACCGTCAAAAAAATGACGAGGCCGAGCCTTCATTTTGACGAGGCCTCCCGCTGCAGACATCCCACGAAACTCCTCCTCGTCAAAATCCGAGGCGCGGTCGTCAAAAAACGATGGCGAACCCGAGTCCTGGCAAACCCGGGTCTTACGCTCCCCCGACAATTCCTGAACACATGTCCCAGGTCCTGCGTTCCAGGATCCTGGTCCGCAGCTCCCGGCTCCTGGTTCCCCTTCGCCGGCTTCCCGGTTTCCCGGTTTCCTGGCTCCCGGCTCCCGGGTCCCGGCTCCCGGTTCCCCGATCTTTTGCTTCCCTTCACTATTGCTCCATACAGCAGGAGGACGAGGAGGAGGAGGAGGAGGAGGAGGAGGTGGAGGAGGAGGAGGAGGAACTTCCCTTCGCTATTGCTCCATATATGAAGGGGAACTGGGACACACAAATAAATACACACCAATTAAAAAGATTCCCCCTATGTTCTGGGTTCTCGTCTTCCGCCCCACTTCCATAGAGGCCTCCTAGATGGGGTCCGAGTAGATGGGGTCGAAGGATCGCGCCGCATCGCCAATGCATCCCGATGCATCGGCGATGCATCGGCGACGTCGGCGATGCATCGGCGACATCTGCGTGTGGAAAAACGGTCTCCGCATCGAGCCGCATCGTCGATGCATCGGCGATACGGCGCGATCCACCGACCCCATCTACTCCGACCCCATTTGGGAGGCCTAGATTCCAATATTTTTCCCATATCTTCTGGGAATCGCCGGTGAATTGTGTCTGTGTGTTTTGCCCCTCCTGGAAATCGTGGGAGGAGGATCCACGAGAAGGGAGAGGGGGGAGAGGGGGCGGACGGCGGACGGCGCTCCTCCTCCTCCTCCTCCTCCTCCTCCCCCTCCTCGTCCTCCTCCTCCTCCTCCTCCTCCTCGTCCTCCTCCTCCTCCTCCTCCTCCTCCTCCTCGTCCTCCTCGTCCTCCTCGTCCTCCTCCTCCTCCTCGTCCTCCTCGTCCTCCTCCTCCTCCTCCTCCTCCTCGTCCTCCTCGTCCTCCTCGTCCTCCTCGTCCTCGTGGGGGGGCGGCGGAGGGGCCCCGAGCCCTCGGGACGCACGCGGGGACGTGCACCAGCTCCCCGAGCGACATCACCGCCGCCACCACCAGGCAGCCGAAGACTCCGGCCCCTCGCACCTGGCGCGAGCATTCCAGGGGAGAGGACCGAGGAGGAGGATCGAGGGAGAGGATCGAGGGAGAGGATCGAGGGAGAGGTGCGAGCATTCCAGGGGAGAGGATCGAGGAGGAGGATCGAGGGAGAGGATCGAGGGAGAGGATCGAGGGAGAGGTGCGAGCATTCCAGGGGAGAGGATCGCGGGAGCGGATCGCGGGAGCGGGGGCGCCCGACTCTGCGCATGGCGCCCCGCCGTGCGCGAGCCGCTCCCTTTCGGGTGTTCACCAACGGGGAGGCAGTATCGGGGAGACGTAAGACCCGGGTACGGGGGACTCGGAAATCCCCGACGAGGTCGTCAAAAAAATGACGAGGCCGAGCCTGCATTTTGACGAGGCCTCCCGCTGCAGACATCCCACGAAACTCCTCCTCGTCAAAATCCGAGTCGCGGTCGTCAAAAAACGATGGCGAACCCGAGTCCCGGCAAACCCGGGTCTTACGCTCCCCCGACAGTAGCATGCGGGGTGAAGAGGCGTGAAGGAACGATAGGCAATAGAAGGACCCCTAACCGTTTGGGAGGGGACCCAAGTGAGGAGGGGCAACGACAGCAGGGCTAGGAGGTCTTTTCGGCAGATGTATCAAACGAGCCCGCCGAGATGTAGTACCCCTAGTGCATAGAAGGGCACCTGTGTGAACGTCACCGATGTTATCAGGGTTCGGGGTTCTTTGTCCTCGGTGAAGGAGCGTGCACCTTGAGTGCACCTTCGGGTCCGCGGTGGCAGCCTGGAAGCCATGCAGGGGCTCCCTAGGACCCCACTCCTGCAACCCTAGATCCCCTCACGTCGAACCGCTGCGGGTCTTTAGCATATAAAACAATTAATGGGACACTATTCTTCTCAACCCCCTGTGTTTTGGTTGGGCCACTTTTTCAGTCGACAGCGCCGCACGTCTCCTCCTCTCATCTCCTCTCCTCCTTCCCCTCCTTCCTCCTCTCTCCTCTTCCTCCTCCTCCTTGTCATCGGCATCATCCTCATCATCGTCGTCGGCATCATCGCCTTCATACTCGTTACTACTATAACGCATCCTCATCACAACTAGCATCATCATCATCCTCATCACTATCATTATCCATGTCATCGTCACCATCATCATCGTCATCATCATCATCACCACCAAGATGATCATCATCACCACCACAATCATCACAACTGTCGTAATCATTCGTATCAACATCGCGATCATGATCATGATCATCATCATCGAAAGAGCGTGATCCACCGCCGCTTTACTGTGGAAGGTTGCCGCCCTTTTTCTCCGGAGCCCGGGGTTCCTCCCCCCCCTCTCCGAAAATCCCCCCTCCCCCCTGCTGGAACCCCGCCCCCCCTCCCCCCCCGGCAAAACCCCCCCCCCTCCCCTAACCCCTCCCCCCCCCCCCCCTCTCCCTCGAAAACCGGGGGGGGTCACTAACCGGTTCGAACACCTCCCCCCCCCCCGTCCCCCTCGAAAGCCGGGGGGGGTCACTACCGGTTCGAACCCCCCCCCCCCTCGAAAACCGAAGGGGGGTCACTACCGGTCCACTGTTGTTCCCAGCGCCACTGTCCTCACCACCACTGTCCCCGCTGGTTCCACCACCGTCCCTACTGTCCCCACCAGTGCCCCCACCACTGTCGCACTGTCCCCACTGTCCCCACCGCTGTTCCCACCATGGTTCCACTCTCCCCACTTTCTCCACGGCCCCAACCACTGCCCGACTATCCCCACTGTCCCCACTGTCCCACTGACCCTTCCGCTGTCCCACTGAGCTGTCCCACTGTTCCCACCACTGTCCCCACTGTCCCCGCCACTGTCCCCACTGTACCTCTGTCCCATTGTCCCACCGCCGTCTGTAAAAAAAACAATACACAGTGGCCGTTTTTCTTCTCAACATCGTCTTTCTTGTCGTCGACGATGCGAAAAACGCTGCAGGAATGGGACGCGGCGCGCATCGCGCGCGGCAGTCAATCTGGGCCCGCCCATCCTGACTGTACAAAATCAATACAAAGCCTTCGCTTTTTCATCTCAGCATGGCCTGCCTTGTCGCCGACGGTGCGAAATATGTGGCGGCAGTGGGACGCGGCGCACATATGGGACGCGGTGCACATCGCGCGCGCGGCCGTCGATCCGGGCCCGCCCATCCTGACTGTAAAAAATCAATACAAAGTCTCCGTTTTTTCCTCTCAAATTGCCTCCCTTGTCGCCGACGGTGCGAAATATGTGTCAGGAATGGGACGCGGCGCACATCGCGCGCGGACGTCCATGCGGGCTGCGGGCCCTCCCATCCTGATTGTAAAAAACAATACCGAATTGCCGTTTTTCCTTTCATCATGGCCTGTCTTGTCCTCGACGATGCGAAATGCGTGGCAGGAACGAGGCGCGGCGCACAGCGCGCGCGGACTTCTGGGGCAACCCCAAGGTGGGAGGGGCCACCTTACTTGTCAGAAACAATGCCATGCTGATTTTCCTTGCCCACATAGCTGTTCTTGTCGTCCACCACGCAAAAGTGCATGGCAAGAATTGGGCGCGGCACACCCCCTTACCCCCCCGCTCGAAGTGAATGAAATGACCTTCCCGCTTGGGCGCCGAGCGACATTTTCTCAAAGTTGCGCTCCCGCTTTGGCTCGGCGCACGTTTCTAGCTCGCCAATTCATTGGGCGCCGGGGCGTTCCAGGAGGTCCTGGGGTGACGAATGCCTGGGAGGTTCTTGCTTGTTCAGGCTTTTGGAGGGCCTCGAGAGGCTCCCCGCGGTTTCTTGGCGGCGTCTTCGGCCGTCTGGAGGCCGTCTTGGGCGTCTTGGTGCGATCTTTCGGCGACTCAGGGCTACTACTACGACTACTACTACTACTACTACTACTACTACTACTACTACTACTACTACTACTACTACTACTACTACTACTACTACTACTACTACTACTACTACTACTACTACTACTACTACTACTACTACTACTACTACTACTACTACTACTACTACTACTACTACTACTACTACTACTACTACTACTACTACTACTACTACTACTACTACTACTACTACTACTACTACTACTACTACTACTACTACTACTACTACTACTACTACTGCTACTACTACTACTACTACTACTACTACTACTACTACTACTACTACTACTACTACTACTACTACTACTACTACTACTCCTCCTCCTCCTCCTCCTCCTCCTGCTCCTGCTACTGCTGCTGCTGCTGCTACTACTACTACTACTACCAAGACTACTGCTACTACTACTATACTACTACTACTACTACTACTACTACTACTACTACTACTACTACTACTACTACTACTACTACTACTACTACTACTACTACTACTACTACTACTACTACTACTACTACTACTAATAATACTACCACTACTACTACTACCACCACCACCACCACCACCACCACCACCACCACCACCACCACCACCACCACCACCACCACTGCGCGCCAGCACCCAGTTGCGCCAGCATTGTTTCTCATGTTGTGGGAGGGCGGAACGTGTCCGTTGTTCCTTTCAACATGGCCATTCTTGTCGTCGAGGATGCGAAATGCGTGGCGGGAATGGGACGCGGCGCACATCCCGCGCGGACGTCAATGCGGTGTCCTGGGGTACCCTCCACTCGCACTGACATGCCCGCGCAGCCCCCAATTGTGCCATCACTGTTTCTTATGTTGTGGGAGGGCGGGTGGGAATGGGCATGCCATGTTTGACTCGCTCGAGCTGTCTAGCTTGACCACCACTGTACCCTCCACTGTCCCACTGTTTCCACCTCATTCCCACTGTCCCCACACCACTGTCCCCACCACCACCGTCCCCACCACTGTCCACTGTCCCCACTGTTCCCACCATTGTCCTCACCACTTTCCCCACCACTACCGTCCCCACCACTGTCCCACTGTCCCCACCACTGTCCCGCTGTCCCCTCACCACTGTCCCCACCATCACCGTCCCCACCACTGTCCGCACCCCCACTCGGTTTTCGAGGGGGGGGGGGGGTTCGAACCGGTAGTGACCCCACCCGGTTTTCGAGGGAGGGGAGGGGGGGGGGTTCGAACCGGTAGTGACCCCCCCCGGTTTTCGAGGGGGGGGGGGGTTCGAACCGGTAGTGACCGCCCCCCTTTTCATGATGAACTGGGCGGGGGGTGGGGGAGGGGTTCGAACCGGTAGTGACCCCCCCTGGTTTTCCGGAGGGGGGTGGGTGGGGGGGAGGGGTTCGAACCGGTAGTGACCCCCCCCTCGGTTTTCCGCCAGCAGCGGTAGAACACGCTCTTTCTCATCATCACCATCATACTCGTCGTCATCATCATCATCACCATCACCACCATCACAACCACCACCACAATCATCATCACCATCAGCAGCATCAATATCATCATCAACACCATCATCGTCATTCTAGTCATCATCATCATCATCATCATCATCATCATCATCATCATCATCATCATCATCACCATCAGCATCATCATGATCACCAACCTCACAATCCCCATCGCCATCGCCATCGCCAGCATCATCATCACCATCAACAGCGTCATCAGCACCATCACCATCATAATCATCAGTATCATCATCATCGTCATCATCATCATCATCATCATCATAATCAACATCATCACAATTATCATAATCGTCGTCGTCGTCGTTGTCGTCGTCGTCATCCTCATCACCATCAGCGTCATCATGATTATAGTCGTCATCGTCATCGTCATCGTCATCCTCGACATCGTCACCACCACCATAATCATCATCATCATCCTCATCATCATCGTACGCATAACCATAATCACCAGTATGATCAACAAAGCCACCATCACCATCATCATCATCATCATCATCGTCATTATCGTCAGTATCATCATTATCATCATCGCCATCATCGCCATCATCGTCATCATCATCAACATCAACATCACCATCAACACCATCACCATCATCACTGGCATCAGCATGAGCATGAGCATGAGCATCGTCATC